TGGCTACTCGCTGCAGTGCCAGTAAAGTTTTTATGGGACCTTCTAACAACAAAATGTGCAAAACCGAGAGGAAATTTGATACACGTTATCTCAAACTGGTTTTCGGTTTTCATGAGTCAGATGAAGAGTCAAAACCACAAAACACAAGCTGTTTTCAGCAACAAGTGTTCATCACATCTTAAAACCTTAATTAGGGTAATTGGTCATTTTGCTAATTTAAATCAGAGTAAATAGATGCTTTTTAAATATGAATCAAAATGGTGGCTTTCTGGGAGGCTTATCACTGACCAAAAATGCATTTCTAAAAGTTTACATGAATAATTTAAGAACAATGAAACATAAGTATTGTTGCTATTAAAATCATTTTTTTATTTTTGTGCACGGCTACATGAAACTGCGTCTGCTTTGTTCCTTCAGCTTGTTGGCAAGGCAGCATTAATAACAACAGACAGCTGATACGATTAGACCAGTCTATTTCTGCTTTTATTGGACAACAGTAATCGAGCCGTGGTACACATCTCCAGACAAGGTATCTGAGTGATTACTTCTAATTTATCCATACATAAAGACATTTTCATAGAGTGCTGACTAGCAGCGTCCCATGAATAAGGCAATAAACAGATGGAATTGTATTCCCACACGCCATCAATAACAAATAATGCTCCTGGGGTAAGAAAAAAAAATCCAAGAAGCACATAACACTCTTAGCACACCGTCCAATTTCAGACTTTACAAAGCTTGAGAGAGCAGCTGTTATTTCCCAGTGGAACTCTGACAAGAAAAAAAAATAGCATGTACTGTATGTGCCTGACAGATTGGATTATGAAATTTTATTTACTAAATCCTACATAAAAATTTGGAATCTTTTATCTTTACTTTGTTATGTAGTGCAGCGATGTGTTCCACCAGACACAAAATAGATCAAGCTGTGTCTTGATCCAGAGTTTAACACTTAATTATTTACATGGAGCATTCTGTTTATCAGAGTTGTATATCCAGAACTATATTGTGCACAGAGTGCGCCTCGAATAGTTGTTTTGATCACTGAGGAGGATGAAATGCTATCAGTGATTGGTTAATGCATATTAATAAGTCATGACTTTTGTCTTTCTGTTTGCTTTGAATTCTGTTGTGCAGGCTTGAACTCGAAAAACATTTTGAAGCTTTCTTTTTTTATATATATTGTTTGGTGTTGTGACAGGTAGTTGGGATTCGCAAGGCTTGTAACCTTGTTAAATCTGTCAGTGTATGCACAACCGGGCATTTTAAATGATACAAAGAATGAAATGCAATGCAATAAGATGCCCCAGAGATCAACGCAAAGGGGAACGTGCTCCTCTGCATTCCAGATCTGTGTCAGCGCCCGGTGCTTTTTCTGCTGAACCCACATGGTCAATAAACTCTCGCTGTTAAAAAGCTGCGCGAGTCGAATTCTTCTCAAAAAGATCTAATGAAATGACGAGAAACTGACCTTCAGGACACATGGGATTGATTCTATACCCTCATCCTCATGGTAATTGGCTTTGTATAGTTCTGCTTCGAATTATAAGTGAGTTGTAAAGAGAATGTATGTCACACAAGAGCACTCAGTCCTTCAAGGTTTACAGTTCAGAAAGGCATCAATGGCTCCACTGGGATTAGGGATGTATAAGTTAAAAGGCTAAAATGCTGCGTCAGCATCTACCGCTGAATGAGAGCACATCTATAAGCAAAAGGATCCCCTCTCTGATTAAAAGCATAATTGATTACAACACGGACAAACACTGCATGCATTCAGTTCTGGAAATAAAAAAAAAGTTAGATTTTAGAGACGTAGCACTTTTTTTTCTTGTTGAGAAAGATATAAAAGGCCAGGCCTATGTTTTTAGCAGCACATCTCAGGTGGTATGGGTAGGTGAGAGATTTGATCTGAAGTGGGAGTGGTGTGGAGGAGCACTGTGCAAAATTGAACCAAATTCAGCCAGCAGAATGTTAAACCATGTGTAAAATCCCGGTGATCGGCTTTGAAAATGATCCTGGGCTGAAGCCGTCGTTTCCCTCCCCACCTCTGTCTTTAGGGATGGTCCGTCTCATTTCTCTGTGCCTCGTGGGAACCTTTGAAGGAAGAAGGATGTCCAGAAGCCCATTAACCTCCCCTGTGTATGTGCACTGATTCCTGACATACACCCAGACATCGGGTCGCCAACCCTGGAAAGCACCAGCCTTTTCACACAGCATGGGCAGGCCTCTTTGTTGTTCCCACACGCCACCCTCTTTATTCCACCAGAAATATTCACTGTAAAAAAATATCTACTGTTAATTTATGGCTTCTTTTTTGTTTGTATCAGCGTTGGGTCATGATGTTTACAACTCTGATAACATTTGATAATGGAATTTTTGGATTTCTGATGTCGAGACACACCCAACCAACAAATCTGGATTTGGGATTATCATCATCATTCTTTTAAAATGGGCTCCATATGATTTTATTATGGACTTTTTATATCAACAGCCATCACACTCACTATTGCTATATTCCTGCAGCAGATTTTTCCATAAAACCTGTGTCCTGTTTCGGACATGAATGCCACAAACAAATTACAAACGTGAATATTTTCGTTTGTACTTTTTGATTAAAAAGAAAAAAGAAAAACCTGCAAAAGTCTCTGAAACAACTTGAAACTCATAAAAATAATAAGAAAACTGTAATGAAAAATCTGATATTGCTTTTGAATTCTGATACAACCATCCATTATCTTTTACCTGCTTCTTCCTTTCAGGGTAACTGGGGGTCACTGGTCACTGTGCAAGGGATGGGGTACAACCTGGACAGGTCACAAGTCCATCACAGGGCCACACACGAGACAGACAATGTCTCACAAACATGATTGCTTTTACTCTGTGGGAGGAAACCGGAGTGTCTGGAGAAAATCCACCCATGCACAGAGAGAACATGCAAACTCTTCCCAGAAAGGTCTCCAGATGTGATTCGGTACAATGGCTTTCTTGCTGAGAGGCAACAGATCTACCAACTGAGCCCCCATGCATACCCTGATAGAACCAAATTGTGTATATATAAAACACAACTAATAAAAAAAATAATGATTGATTAGTCTAGCACAGCTATCTTCATGGGGACATTGACTTCTTTTGGTTTCTATAGCCTGGCTCTAAATCTAAGCTAAACTCTAACCACACCTTATTCCTAAACTGAACCCCTAACCCAGGGGTCTGCAACCTTTACAATCAAAAGAGCCATTTCTGCTACTGACGCAGTAATAAAATGTGTCCAGAGCCGCAAAMYAAGCTACAACTGTGATTATCAACTGGTGGTCTGTGGGCCTTTTCAAGGCCTTTTCGGGAACTTTTACGGCCAGTGGAGGTGACGTTATAAAACTAAAAAATATATTGCAAATTTTATTTTTTTTATTATTTTTACCCATCAGGACAAATAAAAAGACTATATTCATGTAAACAAGAAAAATACTTTATATACAGTATATAGTTTATACCTAATTTCATAAAAAATAGTACAACTGAATTATTCAGGCTTATTTTTTTCCAATTCTTATTGTGTAGTTTTTAATATTCTTTAAAGGTAATTCTGATGGATTTGAGAGAAAGACAAAAGTTGGATTATTTAAGTAAACAACAGGCTAGCATGAGCTAACATTTTTTACTTTTTGTATTAGTAGTATCGATCACGTATTAACTTACAAATTGATTTCTGTTGTGGGAACAATTCAATTCAATTTAAAAATGCTTCACTGATCCCAGAGGGAAATTAGGTAATCAAAACAAACAAAAAAGAAATTATTTTGCTATGTTTGGTCACATTTTTCAAAGAGCCACTGTAGAGGGACCAAAGAGCCACATGTGGCCCCAGAGCCGCAGTTTGCAGACCCCTGCCCTAACCCATCAACAGCATTTCTCCCATGCGAACTAGACGTAGATCCCCACAAGTACACGTGTAAGCCAAAAAATTGTCCCGGGGAAGAAAGAAACTTGTTTGTCTCATCTTTGCTACAACTTGCAGGGTGCCATGAATTTATGCAATGAAATCTCAAGACTATCAAGGCATTCTGGAGCAAAATGCGCTGCCCCAAGTCAGAAAGCATGTTCGGTCACAGTTCATGAGTCCCCCAACACAATAACGAGCCACTACACACAATTACACACCCAATGGCCAAGAACAAAACAATAAACTGTTCTGAAGAGGCCGCTTGAGTCTGAATCTTATTTAACATCGGTGGAAGGAGCTGAAACGGAAAGTACCCTTCAAACTAAGAGCAATTTGCTTCCAAAATACCCGATTGTCTCAAAAAGTTATGCAAATAAAAACAGGATATCCATTTTTTTGTCAAGTCCATCCATCCATCCATTTTCTGTACACACTTCTTCCTTTTCAGGGTTGCGTGGGTCACTGGTGCCCATATCCAGCGGTCACAGTGCGAGGGGTGGGGTACACCCTGGACAGGTCGCAAGTCCATCACAGGGACACACATAGAGACAAACGAGACAAACAACCATTCACTCTCTCACTCACACCTAGGGACAATTTAGAGTTATCAGTTAACCTAACAGTCAGGTTTTGGTCTGTGGGAGGAAGCCCGAGTACCCGGAGAAAACCCACGCATGCACAGAGAGAACATGCAATCTCTACCCAGAGAGGTCCCTGGACCGGGATTTGAACCGGTGACCTTGCAGAGAGTCACCAGCTGTACCAACTGAGCCACAGTGCCGCCATTTTTTATCAAGTCCATTTTCATTATTTTTGTTTTTATATTTCTTTTTAACTGAAAACTGTAAGCAACATCTAATTCTAATTTTATTGTTGATTTTTTAGTTAATTTTGTACTTTTGTAACTTTCAAGTTATTTTAGTTGCCTTTTTTTTTAAATGAAAATGTTCAAACAGTTTTCCTCCACGTTTCTACGTGTTTGTTCAGCCTGATTGTTTACCAGAGAGACCAGAAGTATTTTTCTAGGTGTTTTTCATTGGTGAAGCGTCTTCATTAGTCAAAAAGCGTGGGCGGGACTCTAGCTCTCTGCAGCGAGTCAAAGTGAAAGGCAATAAAGGGAAACAGGAGCTGCACTTGGCCGACGAGCATCTCTGCCGTCCTGCTGCTCTCCGGCGCTCAGTGCACCTCCCTGCGAGAAACCCAGGAGGAGAGTTCATCAATGTAACTCTGGTCAGTCAGAAAACTGCGCCGTTCAGCTGGATAAGTCCTGACAGAAGAAGAGAGACAGAAAAAAAAGAAGAGTGGAGCGCGGAGTGGAGCATTAACGTGAAATCGTGAAGGAGAAAAAGAGAAGAATATGATGCTCCAGTTGCGCTTGATCTTCATTCTCTACAGCCTCTGCGCGAGCGTCTTTAAAGGTGAGAGCACCCTGGATGTTGCTGTGCGTACAGACGGGCGTGGTGTGCGGGGAGGTGGAGGCTGGGGATGGGGGAGACATGTGCAAATGTGTGACCGTTGCGCACGTGAGCGCACCTTGCCTTTTCAGCGCAATAAATAATAATGAGGATAAAAAGGAGTTGATGTTTCCTTTAAAACGCTGCGCTTTCGGGGCGCCGCAGTTGTGGCTGCAGCGCGGCGGCCGCTGGCTGCTGTCGGAGCCCAACTGTGTGCTGGAATGCCTGGAAGTTGTGCGAGACGCACAATGCGGCTGCACAAGTTTTGCTTTCGGAGATAACTCGGGTGTTGTGTCCTTGTTTTGGAGGAGAAGTGGCTGGTGAAAGCACTGCGGGATGAGTTGTCTGCTGTTTCCTCTCTTCATTCACTCGAGCTGATTCAGGGGAAGGTGGCTGGTGGTCTAAATTATTATTAGGGGTCCAAGCCCGAGGAAGCAGGGTAACGCAGCTGCAAAGCAGCAGCGTTTCCATGTCTCCATCGGAGCATGGAACCCTATTGTATCTGTTCCGTTTTTTATTATTATTATTATTATTAGGGGTCCAAGCCCGAGGAAGCAGGGTAACGCAGCTGCAAAGCAGCAGCGTTTCCATGTCTCCATCGGAGCATGGAACCCTATTTTATCTGTTCCGTTTTTTATTATTATTATTATTATTATTATTATTATTATTA